GATGAACCATAAGGATAAAAACCCTTATCATGGTACCTGATGCAGGCTACATGGGCAACAAATGTTAGCTGTTATCACTTCCTGATTCATTCAGTTAACAAATATTTCCTGAGGGTTACTTGCCAGCCTCTTATACATAATAACTATCAGTGATCTTTGTCCCAGGTGAAGAGCGATCTGGGTCCCTCAAACCCATAGCATGCTTTTGCCCTTCAGTTAAGTAAGCCAAATAAATCCAGTTCCAATGTGGGAATTAATTCCTGTGTGCTTTGCCAGTTCTCCACAAAAGGCACAGTCCTGGAGCTCTGTGAGTGACACCTCACTTTGTTCCTGGTCTTGGCTTCAGCAGATGTCTCCCCACAGCCTTCTGTATGACTTGATTTTGCAGTCACCCTGAGGTGGCCCTCTTGTCTCTGCATGTGAGTCTTTTGGGGAAACCACAAAGACAGCCTTGGAGTTTGAAGAGGGCAGACCTCCAGGCCTGCATCTTCCTAATTTGCAATCCTGTTGGAGTCTTCAGTCTCCATTTGTGTCCTTGAAGCACCATTTTCTGGACCACTGATTTATTAAGGGACAGTTAGTGGGCAATTTGGGATCTCAGGCCCTAGCATTCTAACTCAATCAAACAAGTGAAGTGAAATGAAGAGACTCACGGGTATCTTTAGGGAAAACAAAACCCAATTCCTCACGTGACGAGAATGATGTAGCATTTGAACAGTGGCCTAGAATTCCTGTAAGATTGCGTGAGAGCTGACATTTCAGAAATAGGACCCCCGCCCCTCAGCACCCACTGCCTTGGATTTGACTCCAACATGCGGCCTCTCATGCTGTCACCCCAAAAGCTTTGCTGGCAAGACAGAGAATAGGACGTGGCAAATGACATTGTGCTAAGAAATGAGTTCCCTTAGAGTTTCTTATGCCTGACCTGGGCTTCTCTCTTCTCCCGCTTTTCTCTCTTCTCTCTCTCTGTCTTTTTCTCTTCTCTTTTCTCTCTCTCTGTCTCTGTCTCTGTCTCTCTCTCTGGTGCTGAGTCTAATCCAGGGCCTTGTGCATGCTAGACAAGCGCTCTATCATTGAGCTACACACCAGCCTACTCTAGTTCCTACTTGATGGGCACTTGGCAAATGTTGCTCACCCTGGAATTCTGGGAGGCTTCTCAGAAGCGATGGCCTTGTCCCTGGAGTGGTGAAACATTGCAAGATCCTGTGTAATGGTTTAGTTTGCTGTGCATCTTCTCAGCATCAGGACCCATTCTAGGAGTGGGGATCCAGAGATGAAAGATGTGATCCCTGACCACAAGATGTCCCTGATGAAATAGGGGGCCTGGGGGGTGAGTCAGTGTCCTGGTGGCCCAGTGGGGACAGAGGGGGCCTTCTTGGGAGATACGGTATCTATAGTGGGTTCAGTTGTGCCTTCCTCCAAATTCATATCCACCCTGATGCTCAGCATGAGGTCTTATTTGGAAATGGAGTCTTTGTAGATGTAGCTATGATAAGGATCCAGATGAAACCACATTGCATTAGGGTGAGCCCTAAACCCAGTGAGGACCAAGGCAGAGGCAGGAGTGAGGCAGTTTTTCAAGCATCTTCAGAGCCACCAAGAGTGGGAAGAGGCAGGAAGAGAGCAGGGTCTTGCCCACACCTGGATATCAGACATTTTTCCTCTAGGACCATATCCTGTTTATGGTACTTTGTAACTGTAATCCTAGGAAATGAATGGCGTATGTAGTGCCTGAGACAGCCCTGAAGGATGGCCTCCAGAGTCCAGCCCCCTCTTCCTTGTCCCTTTTCCTTTTGAGCACATCACGCCAGGAAGACTCCATTGCTTTGTGCTCCACAGTATCAAGGGCCATGTTCTCTTCTTTGTTCACTCTGAGGCCCTCATATTTAGCCAAATCCTGGCATATAAGGTTTTCTGGGCATTGTTTGTTGAATGTATAACTGAGCATTTGAGTGAATGCGTGTACAGAAGGGTAGTGCTGCCAGGGGTGGACCAGCCACCAAGCCTTGGGAACAGGTGCTCAGGTGTGAGAAACCATCACCTCTGGGGTAGAGGTACTGTTCTGGGTTGCCTGACCCTTGGTGAAAGTGAGTGTTTAGGGAAGTTTTTGGTTGGTGATGTTATTGCCATAACTGATAATGACTTGTCAGTTATTACTGATGAGCCAGTAATCAGGGTAAGGAGAAGGACTGACTAGGAAGGAAGAGAAGAGAACTGAGCTGTGACCATCACCCTTCTGTGGCAGACACTGCACTATGTCTGTTAATCCATTGTCTCTCTTGTTGGCCCAGAAACAGCCCCCAGGGAGGTGAAAAATGCTCTCATTTCTGGAGGCGGAAGTTGAGACTCAGAGCAATAACAAACCTTGGCAACCACGGTGCAGCTAGCAAGGGAAGCCTGAATCTGAACCCAGGGCTCTTCTCCTGAGTTTGTGCTCCACAGTAGGAAGTGCAGCTTCTGGGACCAACAGTTGTTGGGAAGGGAATGTAGCTGGGGTCTTCAGGCTGACATGGGTTTTAATGCTTTGGGGAGTCTAGATGGCTGGAGAACGTATTTTCTGAGAAATCATCCAAGAAGGCAGAGCATTTGCTGGACTCTGGGGTTCCAGGCCATTTGTAGGCCATCATCGGTGCGCTTCCGGCTGGTCTTGAATAGGGCTTCTTGGGTAAAACTCATTTTCTTCTCTACTATATTCCATACTAGGCTAGGCTGTGTTTTCCATCATTCTCAGATCTGCAGTAACTTTTAAAGGTCAGGCAGTTTGTCTGATATGGTATGAAGTCCTTGTTTGATATGCCACAGCAGCTTGGACAATTCAGTGGCCTTTTGGGCCTGTGCACTTTTGCATTTACTCATTCATTCCACAAACATGTGAGCACTGTCTGGTTGCCAAGAACTGACTGAGCTTGACCTTGTGGCTCACAGAACCAGATCTCTTTCTTTGCCTCCATGAAAAGCTCCTGTTCTAACTCAGTTGAACAAGTTCCTATGATTCCACAGTGTGAACAGGGCTAGAATGGAGGGAGGGATGCTGGGTGGAGAGGCTGGAGAAAGCTTCACAGAGGAAGTGAAGATTGAGTAAGGGTTCACTAGGAAGGGCAGGGAAGGCATCATAGCAGAGAGAACAGCATGTGCAAAGGCACAGGGGCATGTTTTGCGTGGTGTGTAGGGGCTGGGGGAGGGTGCAGACATCCTGGGAAGGATAAAGTATTTGAGTAAGACTGGTCATAGTTGCCCCTCTGGGATGTTGCTGATTTTTATTAGAGGTGGCATAGGTAAATTCAGCCTGCTTTTGACCTTCCTTTTTTTGGAGACAGGGTCTTGCTATGTAGCCCAGGCAGGCCTTGAACTCATGATCCTCCTGCCTCAGCTTCCCAACTGCTGGGATTACAGGCATGTACCACTACACCTGGCAGAATTTTGGTTCTTGATCTGTAACATTCCATCTCTCCATAGGCATAAAGGCGTTTTCTGTTTTTTTGTGGATTTTTTGGTGCTGAGTATTGAACCCAGAGCCTTGGGAACATGCTCAGCAAATGCTCTGCCACAGAGCTACATCCCAAGCTGAGACTTTGGTTTTAAGAGGTTGGATGTGTGGGACTTTGTATGGTTCACCAGAGAGAGTGATGCAGAAGAGGTTGAGGCAGATCCCAAAGAGGGGCCACCTGGAGGGAGAATGGAGGTTCCAGGCTGGGTGTGTGTCAGAGGGAAGGGGTCACGTTTGGAGCCACCAGTGCTTATGGATAGAGAATTGGAAGGGGTCTATATGGGGTGGGGCCAGGATTCCTGCTGCAGCCATGTCATTCTGCCTGGTGACTGCCTGACACAGCACCAGGCTGGCTGTGTCCTGACCAATGGGTGGTCTGAAGGGGGCCTCAGGATAGTCCACTGTGTTTCTTGATGTGCTAGCATTGTCCAGCACTGAGGATGACAACCTCCTCTAGTCTCCTCTGCTGCCCACCCTCCCTGCCCGGTTCCTTCCCTCCAGGGCTCTGTTCTCTGCTGCTTCCTCCCTGCTCTGCTCACTGTGGGATGGGACGATGATATTTTTGCTGGTATTTTCTTTCCTAACCATTGAGTGACTTCACTTCTCCCCTTCTCTATTGCCTGTTGAGATGACTAGCCAGATCACTTGACATTTTGTTACTTAAAATGTTTTAGTTTAATGGCTGCTAGCTAAATATATTTTGACCTCAGTTATGGCCCGTGACTCGCTACTCAGAGGCTGAGGAAGCCTCGTGCCAAAACCATTTCTGTCTGTCTGTCTGTCTGTCTGTCATCCTCTTTGGACAGAAATCATCCTCGGCAGACTGGAAAGGAGTCCTCACATGTTAAGGGTTGTTTTACAATGCAATTCCGATTTTGGGTCTGGCCTTGGGTATCCAGGAGTGTGGATGTATCTGCCACAAAGGCATCGGGTTGGCCTCCCAGAACTGGCCCATGGTGTCTCCAGATGTGCTTGGCCTTGGGGCCATCATCCCTTATGAACCTCAGGAGGCAATTCACATAGTTCTTCTGTCCCCCAGGGAGACTTGGAGGAGCTTGGAGTAGCCACAAACTCTGGCAGCTTATTAATTTTTGGACCGAGAGGAAAGGAAATGAAAGTGAAGTCGTTAGCAAATCTGCCACAGAAGGAGCTTGTAGACAGTAGGACTCCTGCTTCTCATTCGAGGCAAACGGGGTCTCTGGTAAAGCCCTTCAGCTTCCTGGCTTGACCCAGGGAGGCCAAGCCATGTCACACACTACCCATACTTTGCCAAACTCAGATCAGAGTGGGAAATGGAGGCCAGCGGGAAGGACAGAATGACCTTACCAAGGACCTGGGCACTTAAACTAGCGCCTATGTGGACTTCCCTTTGACTTTGAGATGGAAATTCCAGAGACGACATGGATGCAGCCTCTTTATTCACTTACCTGTATATATATATATATATATATATATATATATATATTTCTTTTTTGAGGTAGAATCTTGATATATAGAGGCTGGCTTCTAACTGGTGATCTTCCTGTCTCTACCTCCTGGGTGCTGGGAATTACAGATATATGCTACCATGTCCAGCTACTTACCAATTCTTTAATTCACTGATCACATGTTTATTTGAAAGCTACAATATATGTGGCAGCCACTGAGGCCAGCCTTAAGAAGGACAGATATAAGCAGTTAGATGGGAATAAATAGAGTGAACAAGTGATTAGAAAAAGGAGGAGGGTCTCCAGGGGAAGCAGAGGGGCCAATGGTAGCATTTAATAGGAGAGCTGACCCAAGCCAGGGTGGGTGGGGTGCATGGAAGGCTTCCTTGATGCAGTGACTTTTATCTGGTGTGTAAGGTGAGGGCTGCAATGGCATCAGGATATGTGTCTATCAGGAACAAGAGAGAAATTAATTATAGCAAAGGCAAGTGAGCTGGAAAGACTTGGGAGGATTTTAAATGGGGAATGAGCTATTTTGACTTGCATTTATGTTTTTAAAAGTCCACACAGGCTGCTGTGTGGAGAAGAGAGTCAGGGGGCCAAGGTGGAAGCTGAGAGACCACTGATGAATCTATTGTGTCAGCTCAGATGAGAAAAGATGGCAGCTTGGGCTAGAGTTAGCACTGTGGATGGCGAGACATGGCTGAGCTGTGGAACAAATAAGAGTGGAGTTTTTGATACAGAGAGGAAGCAAAGGAGTCTATAGCTGTGGCCTGAGGGACTGAAGAAAAAGTGTTATCCTCTCCCAGGGTGGGGAAACTTGTGGGAGGAGGAGGGTTGTGGGGTGGGAGTGGTCTTGAACGTGTCCAGTCTGAGATGCCTGTTGAACTTGGAAAGTGGAGATGGAGAGCAAGTATCCGGGTCTTGGCAAGTGAGCAGCATTTGGGTTGCAGGCAAATTCATGGGGCTTCATGGGCTCCATCTACGGAGAGAGGACAGATACAAAAGGGGTCTAAGGGCTGAACCCTGGGTGCAGGCAGGGTTAGTAGTCAGGAGAATGAGGGGACAAGAACGAACCATGGGGTGGAGGAGAAGCAAGAATGAGAAGTGGCTCAGAGGTGGGAGAGGAAGGGAGTTCAAGGTGGAGGGTGGACAGCAATGTCGTACGCTGCTGGCCGGTCAAGGGATGGGAAATAAAAATGGAGTGCCAATTTTTGCACCACTGGGTCAGTGGGAAGGTGGATTGAGAGCCTGAACAGAGGGTTCAAAGGTATTGGTGGGAGTAAGAAGCCAGCCAGCGGTTCAGGGGGCAGCAGGCAGGCTGAGGGCTAGGGCCGACTATGCAGGCAGAGTCTCTGGACCACAGCCAAGCAGTCTGGGAAGCAAGACCAAGCTTTACTCCAGCAAGACAGCCCCAGGTGCAAAGATAATGAACTAGGAAGAAAGGAAAATTGCAGAGCATGGACCTGGAAAGCTGGGTGGGGAGGGAGGTGCCAGGATGTAGGTGCTCGGGTGCCAGGCTCAAGACAGCAGGACTCATTCCAGATGCTTCCATTGGTGGAGGGAGAGAGGACTTTGCTTACAGTGCTGGGTTTGGCTGGTGGAATGGCTTAAGTGGTACAGCACCTGCCTAGCAAGCGTGAGACCCTGAGTTCAAACTCCAGTGCCACCACAAAAAAAAAAAACAAAAAACAAACAAACAAACCCAAAAACAACAACAAAAAAACCAGTGCTGGGTTTGGATGGGGCTGGCCAGAATAGGATGGACGTGAAACCAACCATGGTGTTCAGTGCCCATAGCTGGGCAGGGCTGTGGCTTTCCACACTGCCTGCACAATGGGATCATCTAGTAAGCTTTAAAAAAAACACAAATGCCCCACCTTGGGGACTCCCCTGTCCATCTGTCCCTAATGGGGCTCAACTCTGTTTCCAGACATCCTCCCAGGTGACTGTGATGTGAAGCAGTGCTGATAGCTGCTGGTCTACACTTTAGCTGATTTCGGAGTTTGACACGGAGCCAGAGTGGGCGGCACTTGGAGATAAAGGGGCCATGGGGAACGTCAGCCCTGGCGTCTGGAGGGTAACGGCTGCTGTAATCACTGTAAGAATTTGTTGGCTTTCCCCAGAAGAGCGATTCTCATAATACTTAACAAAATGAAAATCCTGATTAATTCTGCAGGTTTATAGTTCCCTGGAGGCTGGAGGAAAACATCATTTGGCATCAGAAACAAACTTTATTCGCTTTTTTATCTTCAGCGCAAGATCATTTTGCAAACCTTAGATACTGAGTTGCACATACTTTTCTGGAATTTCAATGTACCCTGTCTACAGAATGCAGAGAAACACAGTCACGGCCAAGTTCTCATGCTGTCCCTCTTGTTACATTTTTGGATTTTTTGATGGTCCTGGGGCTTGAACTTAGGATCTCACACCCAGGCCACATCCTCAGCCCTTTTTATTTTTTAGTTTGTTTTTCATATAGGGTCTGTGCTTTTGCTCATACTGGTCTTGGACTGGATCCTTCTGACTCAGCCTCCTGAGTAGCTGGGATTGCAGCCATGTACCACCATGCTTGGAAAATGTAGTTTTTGTCAGCCCAGAATTCCTTCCTTTGGAAAACTGCTTCTGCACTGTTACATGCAGTCAGATGGCTGTCACTCACAGTGGTTAACCTCACCTCTGTCTAGAGGGACAGGATCCAGGGCTACTTAGTTACAGTAGCACAAACCCTGGTAATAGTGATTGGCTCAAGAGGTGAGCCTGGAGTCCCAAAAGGATCCATCAGCACCATTTTTGAGACACAGCTCTGGTAACCATATGCCTGGCACCAGGCCTCCAGACTGGCACCTGTGAGCTCTCCAGCAACCTTTTAAGCTCTTTGGAGCTGGGTGTCTGTCTCTTACAACAGAAAGTGCTTTGGCTGAGACAAGTTCCGTGTGGGCCTCACAAGAAGGTGGCTGTGTGGGGTATGCACTGGAGAGTTAGGCAGGCGTGGTCAAAGAGTTTGTGAGGCAGCTGTCCCTGGGATGTCCAGGTGTCCGTCTCAGGGTCATAGCAGTCAAAGGAGGCTGAGTCCTCGATGTTGCAGTCTGTGGTCAGCCTTCGCCCACCTGTCACATAGAGCTTGTCCCCCATCACTGTAGCCCCGTGGTGCATCCTTCGGTCTTTCATGTCCGCACATTTGACAAATTTGTTGGATCGAGGGTCATAGGCAAGAATCCTCCTTGTGTAACCTGAAACCAAATGACAAATGGGACACTGCTGGTCTCAGATGCAGTGCTGCAGTTCTGGATGTGTCTGCTCCGTGCTCACACTGAGGCTGGGACTCTGAACTAAAGTCTGGGGTGTGATGTACCCTGCCATATCCTGGCATGTGACTGAGCTGGGGTTGGTACCCACATCTGTCTCACTCTCTGACTCCTACATCCTTAAAGTCAAACTAAGGCAGCATATAAGCCATTTGTAGAGTGGGAGTAGCCTCTTCCAGTAGCTTTCTCAGCCTCTTGGCATTATTGTCTCTCCTATGTCCACCCAAGAGCTATAATGACCCAAGGATAGAGCCTTTTTGGGGAACCCAACACTTTTCCCCACAAAAGCCCTACATGGTCGTAATTTAAGAGTCCTTATTTTACTGATAGACAGACTGAGGCACAGAAAGATGAGTAAGTTGCCAGAAAGTATACAACCAGCTAGTGGCAGAGTCAGGATTTGAACCCAGGTCTCTCTGACCCCCAAACCAGCTCTCCTAACCATGAATGTTATGCATTTGCAGAGAAATGATTCATTAGTAGTCAGCAATTATTAACAATAGTAGAGATTTCTTATTGATCATGAACCTGAGACAGTGCTAAGTGCTTTAGATCCACTAGTACATTGACTCTGAAAAATAGGCATCACTTTGCCTCTTATGTGTAGATGAAGACAGGGAGGAACTTCCGGATGAGGAAGGAGATTTATCAGGGTTTTCACTCTCCTGTGGGTGGATGGCTGGGAATTTTAAAAGACATTCCTGTTGAGCACCATCTGTCTATCAGGGACCCTATTTCTATGGGAAGTGCCGTTTGTATCCAGCCCAGCGCCACCCGGCCAGACTCACCTCCCACAATGACAATCCGCTCCCTCAGCACCACAGCAGGAGCACACACATTCTTGATCATCCTCGTCTCCATCTTGAACCACGTGTTTCTGGAAATGTGATAAACCTGAGGGAGAAACAGAATTTCGGCCTTGCATTTTAATTAATTAATTAATTATTATTGCTCTGGAAGTACATTGTGACATTTACAGAGTTCTTACAACATATCATAATTTAATTCACCCCTCCATCATTCTCCTTTATCACCCCTCTCCCCCATTCCTGGAATAGTGCCAACACAGCATTTTAAGGTTAAAATTAAAAAAACCCCACAGAAATAGTAATTTAGAGAGTAAACCAGGAGGTTTTCTTTCTACTTCTTTCCAGTCTTTAAAATGTAGCTACATAGTGATCAATTAATGGATATTGTTAAGTGACAAAGTTATTAAAAGTTGGTGTTGATGCAATCCCATAAGATCAGTTTTCACAGAATGGACCGAGAGGTCTGCATTGTGGTATATATTTCGCTTACCTTGCTTGGAATATATATTTTTTTCTTTCAATGAGAAATGGAGCAACTTGGGCTGAAAACCAATGACTTTTCCAATCATTTTTATTTCCAGTTTATGTTTAAATTCCTAAATCTCCCAGAATACCCAAGAGGGTCATAGAGCCAAGAATAAATTTGGGGCTAAGTACAAAAGGCTTCTGAATGGTTTGTGCCCAAAAGATTTTAGAGTCCTAGAAAGAAAGGAAGCATGAAAAAAAGGAAGAAAGACCAAAGAGGAGAGGGAAGGCTCCCTTGCTGTGCTCTGACATAATGAATCAAATAGATTCCCTAGAACATGTTCTGTTAATAACCTTAATTTAAAATTCAAATATCAAATATAGGTTTTGTGAGGTTGTGAGCAAATGTTGAAATGAAAACATCTATTTACTGAGAAAAATGGTGCAATATTCTTCACTGGAAATTCTGTCCATATAAATATAATTGTTAATATTATCTAGGACTTTATTTTCATCATCTAATAAAAATTTGACCTTTCCAACCATCCTATGAAGTAGATACTATTAGATCCCTAATTTTTCAGATTAGATCATTGAAGCTCAGAAAGGTTGAGTGAGCTGCCCAAGATCATACAGCTAGAGTGAATGGAAGAGCTGATTTGGTAGAGCTCAGAGACCATATCCTAGATGGCTCTGCTTGGGGACATGGAAGGTGGCCTTTTCTGATAGAGGCTTCTAGGATTGGGATTTCTTGAGGTCCCTGATGGCCCTTGGAGTCGGTGAAGCTTGGAAAAGGTAAGTGTTGGAGAAGGGTGATCACAGTGACTGTGAAACCTCAGAGTTGTACTGAAAATATGTAGGTGACACACTTTCTGCACAGTGGGATCCTTGGAAGGAAAGTAAGGGCTGGTTGTGTGTCACTGGGGTGGGTGATTGCCTCCTAGCCTTCTGCTCTTTCAGCTTTGGGTATGGTTTCAAAAAGAGATCCAACATTTGCTCACAACCTCACAAAACTCCAGAGAGACTGCAACAAGGGTAACAAAGGACGGTCTTTGACCAGGGGAGGAAGAGGTACTTTATCATGGGAAAAGAATTGCCTAATGTCAAACAGACACAGAGGAGGAAGAAGGCGAGGAAGAAGGCGACACATCCAGGAACATGTATAGTGACTCTATTGCAGGAAGAGTTCTTAAAAGAACATGCAGGCAATCCATCTGTTTCAACTCTGACCCTATGCCTGAAAATCCAACCTGATCCACTGAGTAACTCCACCATTCATTTTCAACTATGTTCAGTAAGTACAATTTCTGCCTCAAAGCTAATGCTATTTAGGTAAGAAAAACACCCGACAAATACTTTTACCCACTTCTGGCTTCCTGTGCACTGCAAGGATCTTGTTTGATGGCACTGTGTATTCCTTGATATGCTAGCTGAAAGCTTTCACAAACTGCAGTTTATTCTTAGGAAGTTGATGGCAATTTTGCAATGTGAAATCATCAGCATAATTGTTGATTCTATTTTGAAAAATAGAGAAGAGGCAGGGGCTCCAGCTTCACATAGAAGCACTTTGGCGCATCTGTTTTGTGGGTCAGAGTTGTGTCTCTCCCGGCTCAAGTCAATGAGTGGGATCGAAATGACTAAGAATCATTTTAGATGCTAAGGGAGAATATGGGCTGGAGAATGAAGGCAAGAAAAAAATCCGCACTGGCACTGAGTCCAAGATGTCATTACCCCTTGCCTGGATTTCTCCAAGAATCTCCCTCCCATCTCTCCTCCCTTGGTTGTCTCCAATTCCTTCTCCACAAATCATCCAGAGGGAACTCCTAAAAATGAAATTTGATGACCTCACTCACCCTAGGTGAGACTCTTTAATGATGTTTCTGTCTTTTATGTTCAGGCTACAATTTTTTTTTATTTGTGGTACTGGGACTTGAACTTAGTACCTCAAGCTCTACCACTTGGGCCACACTTCAGGTCCTTTTCACGTTATTTTTCAGACAGGATCTTGTGTTTTTGCCTGGGCCCAGCCTCGGACCAGGATCCTTCTACCTATGGCTTCCTGAGTAGCTGAGATTACAGGCATGAGCCACTGTACCTGCCTACAATTCCAATTTCTTGAAGGGACCTAGAAAGCCCTGCCAGACCAGCCTCATCTCCACAACCCATCTCTCAAGATTGTTCCAGAATTTTGATAGGAGAGGCTCAGAGGCAGCTGTCTGGATGGGGGATGTTGCTGGGGTGGCTTGAGAAGGGGCTGATGGAGAGCATGTGGGGACTAACACCTGCCCCCCTTCCTTCACACACAACCAGACTTCCTTGCCCAGTCTTGCTGTGCATAGTGACAACACTGCTGTGTTTTCCATTCCTCCAGGCCGTGGGCTGTGCCCCTTTGCTATTCAGAGCTTTTTTGCAAACTTCCCTTACTCAGGATCACTCCCCATCCCTCAGGAGATAACTGGCTTCTGCCTCAGCTGGCAGAGAGCTCTTCTCTCCCTCCACCCACCTGGTCAGGCCCTTATATTACATGCTACTCTTCACATTCATTCTGCCTGTCTCTCCTCTTTCATTTTTCATTCTCACTTGCTATCTCTCCTCTGCTTCTCTGCTCAAGTCAGCTTAAACCAAGCTCTCAGAGTTCCCTCCAAAGTCCCCTGAACTCTAAGGTACTCTCTAGTTGGTTTTAGGACACCATCTAGATGCTAGGCTCTTATAGCATCCCTCTTTTCAGCTTCTGAATTGCAATTGTCTTGTAAACTCCTTGAGGGTTAAATGTAACTTGCTTTTCCCTCCTGTGTCTTCAAGGCCTTCACAGTGGTCAGCGCTCAATATAAAGCTTAAGAAATGATCAAAGCACATCTCTGGGAATCTTCTGCATTGTCTGTAAAGAGGAGATTATTATTCATGCAAAGAACACTAGAAACTTGCGTAAAGTTGGGAAACACTTAATATTCTGAAATTGGTCCTTATCATTCACATCCTCCAGAGAGCTTGTTAGTGAAATTAATTTCTTCTATTATTTAAAGCTGGCTGCACCTTAGAACCTCCCGGAGACTTTTGTAAACCACAAATGTCAGGATTCCACACAAAAAAATTTTTTATTTTAGCAGATCTGAGATCAGGTTCCATGGGATTTGGTAGAAGAGGGAGGAATCTTCTTTTAAGGCCTTACTGATTTGGATAAGCTATCTGACATTCAATTTCTAGATATTTTTTTCCCCTCAAATGAGGATAAACGCTTTGTGGGTAAGTATTGTATTTGATACACTTTTGTATTAGTCTTTCACAAAAAGAATCAGAAGTTGAAATTTTTCTTTCTGAAAATAATACTTCTTTCCACTCTCCCTCCCTCTAGTCTGCAAAAGACAAATGTGCATATGTGTGTATGCGTGCATATGTGCCTGTGTGCATATACATATGGAAGTATGCATTTGCTTGTATATATGTGTACATGTTTGCAGGTACGCGTGTGCACACGTGTTTATGCACAAATGCATGTGTGCATATATGTGTATGTATGTGCATATGTTTGTGCCATTATGTATGTGCATGTGTCTGTGTGTGCATACATATGCATGCATGTGTGTGTGCATATTCTGCACTTACCATTACAGGAAGGACCAGCTATTTACCTGGATAAGGCGCACTGGGTTCTGCATAACGTCCTCTCCCCCAAAAAGGTAGAGCCTTTGGTCCTTCACAGCGACAGCGGGGTGGAGAACCCCCACTGGCATACTGGCCATACTCTCCCAGACATCACAGATGCTGTCATACCTCTCCATGGAGCCCAGGAGCTCCTGCCCTTCTCCAATGCCCCCGATGGAGAAGATGAAATTCTTGTGGGTGGTGCTTCTGTGAGAGTAGCGGGCTGCCAGCATGGGCTCCCCCAGCCTCCACTGGTTGAGTTTCAGGGAGAAGATGTAGACGCTGCGACTGATGAGATGCTTTCCCCCATTGACAGCCATGCCCCCGAACACGTAGACGCTGCGATGCAAGGTGACAGCTGAGGCCTTGTAGAGCCGGGCAGGGAGCTTGGCGAGGCTCTGCCATTGGCCGGTCTGTGCGCTGTAGAGCAGAACATCCCTGGTGGTCTGCTGGTTGTCCTTCCGTCCACCCAGAAGGAGGAGGAAGTCTTGGTATGCGCTCCTAGGAGGGACGTGCCACAGGGGTTTGCAGTCCAGGCCACTGGTGCCATGCAAAGAGAACACCTGTCTTTTGGCTGTCTCCAGGATGGCCTGGCATGCCAGTGAGGACTGCAGGAGGGTGTCATTGGCAATGAAGTGATGGAAGAAGGATGGATGGATGTACTGAAGCCGGACCTGCTGCAACAGTTCCTGCATGTGTTGCTTCCGGGCCTGGACATCATGCTTGACCCAAGCCATGAGGACCTCAAACACCTTTTCCTCCTCCCCGCAGAGCCCGTCATCTCCCAGGTAGTCTCTCAACTCCAAGGCGCAGAGCTCCTTCAGGTCAGCAGATGAGGCCACCTCTGGGAAGCAGGTCAGGGCGACCTCCCTGGCTTTCTTCTTGAGGGTCTCGCAGCTCAAGATTTCTGAGAGCCTGAGCATGGCCAGGCAGTTGCTGGGGGCCAGCTGGCTCTGCAGGTAGGAGGAGCAGGCCTCAAAAAGCCTGGGGTACTGCAGCATGGAGGCTGCCTCCATCAGGGGGAGGACGTTTGTGGCTGTGATGTGCGCCTCCCCTGTGTACACATACATGATGATCTGCTCCAGAGTGGGGGCATCAATGCCTTTCAGCTGCACTTTGGCCTCGATGCTCTCCCGGAAGTTGCTGCAGAACATGGCCCGGAAGTAGGGACTGCTGGAAGCCAGCACATTGCGGTGGCAGGGCACTTCCCAGGCACTGGTGCAGATGGTCACATCAGTCAGCATCCTGTTTTGCCTCAGGCCATTGAGCTGCCTCAACAAGTCAGAGGAGAAGTTGTGGTCTTTGAAGAGCAGCCCATCTGGTGAATCCTCATCCATCCTAAAGAAAGGGGAGGAAGCCCCAAGAGGGAGCAAAGGTCAAGTTTTTTTAGCGTCATGAACTGGAGGGGTTAGCTGTGGGGGCTCCAAGACTCAGCATCTCTTTCTGGTGGTGTGGTGAAGATTGGAAAGGGGAGCCACCCCCACCTAGACCTCAAAGCAGATATATCATTTTTTGGTTATGATTATTCCCAAAGGTAACAGGCGAGTAACATCTCCGGCTAACCCAAGGGGGGATAAATAAATAAACTAAGTTGTTGGAAGTTTCTAAAATGTTAGCCCCAAGCAAGGTAATAGTCCATGCATTTGACAAACAGAAGTATGTGTCTTTTCCCAAAATCTCAGTATATGTGTTGTTTAGTAAACTCATCTGAGCATCTCTTTCTAGGTGTTAGTCATTTCCTAAGGATGACATTCCGGGGGTGTGGCCTTCTGGCAACTAGACAGAAATGAAGAATGATAAAGAACCTTTATGAGCTCTATCTATCTATCTATCTATCTATGTGACCGCACAGTCTTTTGGGCTTTGTTTCAAAGATGGAATCAATAGAAAGCAGAGACCAAAAAGTGCCCTGGTTTATTGGTGACACTGGCTCCCTGTAGAATAATTAAGCATTAAGGATACTTACCTTGTTTTGCTGCAGTGACATCCACCGATGCCTGGTCTGTCTTGTCCCCCCAGAAAGTTTCCACCTCCAGCTCCGAGTGAACCATAAACCCTAGGCCCTCCCTTCAGCTGGCAAGTGATTTGTCCTGGGAGAGCTGTGGATTTGTTTATGCTGAAGGTACTTTCACAGTTTCTGGAGCTTTGTGCAGGGGCCGCTGGGCAGGGAGACAGTGTATACATTCCAGGGCTAAGAATAGCTGCATTATGTACTTTCCACTGTTATGACATGTGACTTTCCAGTTGCCTTTTGCAGCCACCAAGGGCCTGCAGGGCCAGCGCATGCCCACATGCCTTGTTTCCTTGGCGAGTGTTTACATCGGCATAAACAGACCAGGAGGAATGGCTTTTCTGAGCAAGATTTCACTGCCCATTTGGACCCATCCCGAGTCCCTTGTCCTAAGAGTGCTTGGGAACTCTAGATGTCTGTAAACAGGTGGCTGTGACTTGTGCCGACTCACTGAAGATCATTCTGGGCCATGGTAAAGTGGCAGGTGTTCACAAAGAAAGTCACAGCATGAGTCCCTAGGTGCTGTTCTGTGGGACTCTATTTCTACCACCTGGCTGCCAGGATTGTGAAAAACGCTCTGATTTCCTCCTACAGGCTCCAAGGTGACAGAATCTCTAACAAAACTTGCTTTTTAAAATATTTGTCAAGCACCCTGGAGTTTTCAGAAAGCCCTGGTCTCTGTTGGTCCTCCTGTCCCAGGGGGTTCTGACTTGAGGTGGTCATTTTCCTCCACATGCCTGCCCTTCCAGATACCTGCAGGCAGCTCTTCAGTCAGCTTCTCTTAGAATCCAGGCTTCCTTTTCTGTTTTCCTTTTCCATTTTCCTTCCTTGGGCAGGCTTGAGCTAGTGGAAAGGAAGCAAGGCATATTGCTCCAGGGAGAGAGAGAAAGGAGAGGAAAATGAAAGAGAAGGAGAAAGAATAAGAAGAAAGGAGAAGGATGAAGATGACAGGAAAAAAGAGAAGGAGGAAGAAGAGAAGGCAGGAAGGAGGAAAGAAGAGAGAGAGACTGAGAGAAAGAGAGAGAGAGAAAGAGAGGGAGAGGGAGGGAGGGAGAGAGAGAGAGAGAGAAAAGAGAGAGAGGATGATTGTGATGGGGTAGAAGCAATTTGAATTACACAAGTCAGGACATGTTGGGAAGATCTACAACCACAAGGAAGAGTCAAAGGGCAGTCCATGATTGTTCCAGCCATGAGTGTCAGGGAAGCCTTACTTTCTCTTCTTCTCAAGTCTTGCTCAGACTATTGCAACAGCCTCTTGTGCTGGGTTTCCCCCTTGCTCCTTGTCTCTGTCCCTGTAATACCTCTACCCTGTCACTACTGGAGTAGCCCCCCGTTGTGTCCTTCCATGGCTTCCCATGGCTAGAGGGCTTCCAGAACCATGTCTCCTCCCACTTACACATTTTTAATTCTAGCTCCATTAGACAACTTACAGATCCTTGTATGTGTCTGCTCCATGTTGGGGAGCTGGACTGGTCTGGCCTTTAGGGTACCCCAGAGCGGGGAGGAAGGAGTGTCTCTTACTCATAGTTGCAGATTAAAGAGTGAACCATGCCCCCAAAGAATTCAGATGGTGAAGGTCAGGGAAATACATCCAAAATATGTCGTCCCTGGGGACTGTTGGAGGTGCCTACACTCCCAGCACTCTGGAGGCGGAGGCAGGAAGAGCCTGAGTTTGAGCTCAGCCTGGGCTACATAATGAGTTTGAACTACATATGGAGACCTTGTCTAAAAAAAAAAAAAAAAGTTAATTCCAAAACATGTCATTGGGACCAGGCATCTGGAAGGATAATCAGGAGGAGAGGGCCTACACTAGGGTGGGTCAGAGACCCAGGAAGATACAAGCAAGGAGTAGGGAAAAGAGCTGTGTTCAGAGGTCAGGGCTGATGGCCCTTCTTGGACTTCTGAGCCATGCTGGTGACACAAGTGAGATGTCAAGTTCCTTAATGGGCCTTTACATGTGTTTTAGCCGTCCCTCCCCTTCCATCTTCACTGCTCCTCTTAGTCATCTTCCAAAAATTTAATATGTGCTTCAGTTTCTCAGAAAGACTTCCTTGGCCCTCGTGTATGATCACTTTGTCTCTCCACTATATGGTTCCAGGTCCTCTGTTACCCATCCTATGTGCCTGCCTCAGACCTCACTGCATCTGCTGCGCCTTGCTTGTTAGAGTGGAGGTCTCTGAACACAGGACCTAGACTTCCTTGTCTCTTTCTCCCCAGTGCCAGCACAGTGCCCGACACATCGAGTGGGTGAATGATTCATGACTTCTAATCTGAGTAGCAGCAGGATGGAGAGTGGGGGAAGAGAAGGAGCTCTGTCGGGTGGTCTTTACGCCCTGTCTGCTGTGCAAGAGAAGCAGGGCTGCCATGCACAGCTTGGTGTGCAGACTGCAATGCAAAGGGGGCCTTCGAGTGGCCCTGATGTCCCTCACCTTAATCTAATAAGGCACTGAAGCAGTAAGTCAAACAATTGCTTTGTATTATAGAGCAGAAGTTAAGTTTGGGCTAGGAATGGAAGTGAGGTTTTCAGGAGTGAGCATCAAAGGAAGTAATTTTCTCCTTGCTTTGAAATGCCTGTATTATTTCTCTTTCATCTAGCAAGCAAGCCAAAGGATGCTCAGAAGGTAGAGGAGCGGGATTCCTGGGAGTGAGTTAACAGGCATCTTGGGTTGTTCCTAAATCCCCCAGCTAGCACCTTCTAGAATCCAGACCGGTCAGGTATTTGGATGAGGCTTGGTCAATGTTAGTCAATGTCTGACCAACTTTAATAAATCTTTTGGTTTCTAACATTTAGAGAAAACAAGCCCCCTTCTGCTGCCCTGGCCTTACTAGGAGAATTCTGGTTCCTCATTAAATGTAGGAAAAGACACAGAGAGAGTCTGGATGTTTAGCTTGCAGCAAACACACAATATCCCCAGTACTGGGGGTTGAACTCAGGGCTTTGTGCTTGTAGGAAGTTGCTCTACCATGTTAGCCATGCCACCAGCCCTTTTTGTGTTGGTTATTTTTGAGATAGGATCTTGCTTTATACCCATGTTGGACCTGGACCACAATATTCTTGATCTCTGCCTCCTAAGTAGCTGGTTGGGATTGCAGACTTGAGCTACCACATCTGGCCTTGTCCTTTCTTTTGAACAAAGGTAGTGTCACAGTGAATCAAAGCCCAGGTTTTGAGGGAAGAAGGACTGGGAATAATCTTGGCATTTCCCCTGAGTATCCATGTGGTCTTGGGCAAGTTCCTTACATTTTTCCAACCTCTGTTTCTCCATCTGTTAAATGGAGGCTAACCATTCTTGTCACAGAAAAATAATGTATACAAAGCATCCAGCAAAGTGCCTGCCTGGTTAATAGTACATATTGCTCTAAAGATGACTTCATTAGACTCCAACTGGTCTTGGTGTCTGGGTTCCAATATCTGATCCGACCTACTATCGCCTTGAGCATTTGCTATGCAACTCAATGTCCACTGAGCCTTCAGGAGTCCTCGATTCTGGTCTGAGCTCTGTCATGAACTTTGAGCTTTGGACAAGTTACATAATCTTTCTGGCCTTATTTCTTCTCCTGGCTTAGAAAGTGTCAATCCTACCCGCTCCTATGGTTTGCTTCCCTAGCTGTCCTGTGCAAGCTGTGTTCCAGAGAGTGGACTGTGAGAGGCTGAGTCTCCTTAGAGCTTCGTCAGGCCTCTGGCCTGAAGCCAGGTGCAGAGCAGAAACACCAGTGAGCTGCCTACAGGGCCTTTTATTATTTTGCCCTTTTTAAGTAAATCCAGGAAGACTTCATTTTCCTCGTAGAGTTTGGATTGACTCAGGAGGCCTCTCTTTCTTTCCAGTCTGGGTGTGCAGGACCTGGATTCTTGTGGGAGAGGCAGGCTGGTTCAGGTCAGCAGTAGGCTTGACAAGTACAGCCAGGAAGTCACAAAATGTGCTTCACTACACACACCCAGGTTGTGCTCTTGCCTGCCCCTTCTGCAAGGAGTGACCTCACGCCAATTCAGGAACCTTGGCTTCAGTGGCTTCAGAGGAGCTATGTCTTAGACCGGACACCCTACACATGAAGGCCCTGTGGCAGGTTCTCTCAATAGAAGGCTGCTTCTTGCTGGAGTCAAAGCACCTCCTGTCTGACCGTTGGCAGGTAGAGGAGAAACACGAAGAGCAGACACAGGAGGTTTCAGTTAACTGGATCACTAAAAACTGTAGGAAGGAACTTCCCTCCATATGTGATTTAGAATTGTTCTCTACAGCCCACCATATGCACAGGTTCTGCACAGTGGAGTCAACCAACCACAAATCAAAATTATTAAAAAGTGACTGTATCTGTACTGAACAGTCCAGACTTTTTACCCCAAACAACGTAGTGCAGTAACTATTCACATAGAATTTGCATGGTATTAGGTGTCATAAGCAATCTGGAGATGATTTGAAGTATATGGTACGATGTGCAAAGGCCACATGCAAATACTCCACCACTGAACAGTGGGGGACCTGAGCATCCGTGCAGTTCGCTATTCACAGAGGGTTCTGGAACCCATCCCCAGTGGATCCTGGGAATGACTGTGTATGTGAGAGCCTGTCTATCTGTGTCTGTATCTCTCCTGCTGGAGTGTTTTTTAACCAGCTTGATACAAGCTGAACAAGGACTTTGTACTCCAGACAATGGCCAAAAGGGGACCTGCTCCTTGATCTAGGGGTTGCTATGACAACTGTCTTCCAAGAACAAAGGCCTGACACTACTGTTACTGTCCTGGTAGCACAAATGACTGCATTCCCAACTCCTCCTCCATGTCCACCCTCACTACTAAAAATTATCTTCATATTTTTACCCCTGGGGAGGGTGAGGGGGAAAGCAGGCTCATGGAGACATTGGGGCTGTTAGCAGACTGTTGGTATAACCCGGTTGTCTGGGTCCTTTCTTCCACAAACTGAAAGCTGACCTCATACATCATTTATGCCACAGACCAACTTTCTGGGCCCTCAGTCAAACTGGGGAGGGAGAAGGAATATAAGCAGTCATGCTTTCTTACTGTCCTGTTGCAGCACTGTGAAACAGAAAACTCACAGTTTTCTGACGCATTGCTTGGCCTCTCTGCTGCCCAATTCGGCTGCTCCCCGGTGGTAAGATAGGCACATTTAGGCACAGGCATTACCTCCTTCCCACCATTCAG